GGGGTGCTGGGACCTCGGCTGTACTCTGCTAAGCCTGACCTCTGCCCACCTCTTACTTCTCGCTCTCAATTGTCTGACCTCTAGTCTTTCTCCTGGTTCAGCCCCTGCCAACCTAGGAGCCACTGGACAGTGCTGTCCCTAGCAGTGGTGTTTTCTGTGTGTTTTACGCTCTGGCCAGGATCTAGTACGAGAGCGAAGCAGCACTGATGGTGTCTCATTCCTGACTAAGGTTTCACTGTTAAGGATGATGTTTACGGTAGGTTTACCCTCATTTGCAGTTAAGGCAACTGAGACACATGATCTGCCCAAAGTCACACAACTAGCGAGTGGGGGAGCCCAGTTTTAAAACTCCGCATTTAATGGAGTAGTGGTGTAATGCTGCCTTTTCACAGCAAGCACATTTATTATGTATATATGATGTATATATATATATACACACACATACATATTTCACAGAAGTGGAGCAAGAATTCGTTTTTGCTTTTACTAAGTATAGCTTAAAAACCTTTATCAGGTTAAGGTAGGACTATTCTCTTTCTACTTTGCAAAGAGTTTGGTTTTTTTGTATCAGGTGTTGACTTTCATCAAATGTTTTTTCTGTATTAATTATTTGCTCTTTCAATCAATGTGGTGAAATACATCAATAAATGTTCTAATCTTTATTTTACCTCAGTTTTTTCGTGCTGTATTCGATTCCTAGAATTCCCAGAGCTAGAGTAACAAAATGCCACCAACTTGGCGATCTAAAACAACAGGAATTTACCTGGGCAGCTCTGGAGGCCCAAAATCAAGGCACCCATAATCCCACCCTCCCTTTGAGGGCTCGAGGGGAAAATCCTTGCCTCTTCCAGCTTCAGGTGGCTCTAGGTTGTTGTTGTTTTTTTAAATCCTCACCCGAGGAAATGTTTTTTTCCATTGATTTTTGATTTTCAGAGAGAGGGAAAGATAGAGAAAAATACCGATGTGAGATTGGTTGCCTCCTGCATGTGCCCCGAGGGCCCTGGTCGGGGAGGAGCCTACAACTGAGGTAGCTAACGTGATCTGAATCAAACCTGGGACCCTAACGTCAGATCCGCAGACCAATGCTCTATCCACTGAGCCAAAACAGCTGGACTCCAGGTATTTCTTGGCTGTGGTTCCATAACTCCAACCTCTGCTTCCGTCTTCACATGGCCTTCCCCTCCTCTGTCTGTCTCTCTTCTGTGTCATAAGAACACTACTCATTTGATCTGTAGCCCACCCAGATAACCCAGGATGATCTCAAGGCCCTTAATTACATCTGCAAAGACACTTTTCAAAAAAACTGCACGTTCATAGGTTCATTAGGGTATAGACACAGCTTCTTGGGGGCCACCATGCAATCTGCTACACATGCCCATAGAGGAACAACTGAATGATGTTCTCAGCCTTAGAATCTAAGGCTTTTTTTATTTTTATTTTAAAGCAGCTGCTTATTTCTCTTTTCCCTGCGATAGCCAATTCCAAATCTTTTTTTAAAAATATATTTTATTGATTTTTTACAGAGAGGAAGGGAGAAGGAGAGGGATAGAGAGTTAGAAACATTCATGAGAGAGTAACATTTCAGCTGCTAAAGGAAAAAAATCCTCTAAGCTCATGGGCTTTGCAGATCTAGAGGATCCATGTCCGGTATTTGGATTATCATGAGATGCTAGCCAAGCTGACTCGTGGCATTCTAGTGTTTTTCTTTCTTGTACAACTTTTCTTTTTTTTTAAATATATTTTTTATTGATTTTTTTACAGAGAGGAAGGGAGAGGGATAGAGAGTTAGAAACATCCATGAGAGAGCAACATGGATCAGCTGCCTCCTGCACACCTCCTACTGGGGAAGTGCCGGCAACCAAGGTGCATGCCCTTGACCGGAATCGAACCTGGGACCTTTCAGTCCGCAGACCGACACTCTATCCACTCAGCCAAACCAGTTAGGGCCAATTCCAAATCTTTTTGCTATTTTTTTGTTTTATTTTGCTCTTAGTATTTACCATTTATTTCCAAATCACATGCTTCTGTAGCTATTTCATAAATCTCCAGTTTTAGGTATTTATTACCTATTATTTACCAGCTATAAAACTTAAGGATTGAACTCCTTTACCTCTGTGCCACTATGTATATGTTCACAGGTTCTGTCCTTGCAGCCTTCTGATGTAGTTACATCATGCTTTTGGTTAGATTTATTCACTGGGCAATAGTTATTGAGTGCCTTCGACATTCCAGGCTCTCTCCTAGAGGCTGGAGGTAAAGCAGTGAATAAAAGGAAAAAAATCCTCTAAGCTCATGGGCTTTGCAGATCTAGAGGATCCATGTCCGGTATTTGGATTATCATGAGATGCTAGCCAAGCTGACTCGTGGCATTCTAGTGTTTTTCTTTCTTGTACAACTTTTCTTTTTTTTTAAATATATTTTTTATTGATTTTTTTACAGAGAGGAAGGGAGAGGGATAGAGAGTTAGAAACATCGATGAGAGAGAAACATCGACCAGCCGCCTCCTGCACATCTCCTACTGGGGATGTGCCCACAACCAAGGTACATGCCCTTGACCGGAATCGAACCTGGGACCTTTCAGTCCGCAGGCCGACACTCTATCCACTGAGCCAAACCGGTTTGGCTCTTGTACAACTTTTGACTGTCCCTGAAGTTGTCTTATTTGCTCATTTTCCTATGTATAGGTCACTAATCCATCTCCAAGTTCTCGTTCAGTGTGAGCACTTTAAAGCTATCAACATCCATCAAAGTGTCATTTTACTGCATCACACAGGCCTGATATGGAGTACAGTAGTTTGTGTTTTTCAGGTCTCAATATTCCCTAATTACCATTATGACTTCTTCTCTGATCCAAAAGTATTTCAAAGGTGTTTCTAAAATTCCAAATGCACGGGCTTACCCCTACCTGTGCTCTGCCCCATTTCTCCTTTGCCCTCACCACCAAGCCTGCCAGGCAAATGCCCTGTGCTTGCGACTCCTAATTCTTAGGCTCCAGGCTTCACTACCCCAGGGGTTGGGTTTGGGCCCTGTATTATCTCTAAAAACTTTTAACTTACACAAATGAGTTCATTCACATAAATAATATGAGGTGAAATTCCACTATTAATACCAGTTTGGTAACATCTTTCTAGTCTTTTTCCTTTGCATTTACATTCATATCCATATACTTCTAGAAAACAGCATTTTTGCCTTTAGCATGTGAGAATTCTTTAAATAGTATTGACCTGTATGTATTGTTTTGTCACTTCCTTTTGGCCCTTATGATGCCTTAGAACAGCGGTTCTCAACCTGTGGGTCGCAACCCCTTTGGCGGTCAAACAACCCTTTCACAGGGGTCGCCTAAGACCATCCTGCATATCAGATATTTACATTACGATTCATAACAGTAGCAACATTACAGTTATGAAGTAGCAACAAAAATAATTTTATGGTTAGGTCACAACATGAGGAACTGTATTTAAAGGGCCAGAAGGTTGAGAACCTTAGATGTTGAGGGCCTTAGAAGGTTCTCTATGACAGTTCAGATAGATGTTTTGTAAAATGCCGTATTATAACACTTAATATGCAGATTCCTAGGTTTTTAAGAAAGCTATTCTGTTGATGGAAACGTAGACTATTTTCAGTGTGTTGTACTATAGCCGTGTCTTTTACGCCTGGGAAATGTCCAATAGATTTTGCCCAGTTGCTCTCCAAAGTGGTGGGGCAACTCACACTCCCGCCAGCACTAATGTAGTGTGCCCACTTTCCTGCACCCCCCTCAGGGGTGTTGGCTTTCCACTCCCCAAGTCACCAAAGCTCCTTAGGCATTCCATATTTGTTCCCATCTCAGGGTCTGTCTAGAATGCCATTGGCAGCCTATTTTGAGCCTGAGTCCATGATGATTTTGTTGAGTTACGAAATTAATCAAACTTGGCTTTATAGAGCATCGTCCAGTACACACACACACACACACACAATTGCATGTTTGATCCCTGGTCAGAGCATCTCGATGTTTTTCTCTCACATTGATTTTTCTCTCTCTAAAAAATCAATAAAAAAAATATCCTCAGGTGAGGATAAAAAAATAAATGAATGAACCCTGGTGTCCTTGGTCATTTTTCTAATATATGTGTCTTTTGCTAGTTTACTTGTAAAGACAAGGGGTATTAATTTGTCATATACTTTGCCAATATTTTTTTTCCTTTGTCTTTCAACAGAAAGTTTAGAGTGGTTTTCTTTGTTGGCGTTTTCAGTTTTATGTTGTCAAGTTTACCATCTTTTTCCCTTATGGTATTTGACTTTTGGTTTTTCTTTTAAAAATCTTTATCACCCCAAACATAAAATTGTGATCAAAATGGAAATTCTTTTGGTGTAAGGAATAAAATAATTGTTTTTTGTTTTGCTTTAGTTCCAATACCTGGTCTCATACTAAACTCCCATATACAGGAATTGCAGTTTGTAAGAAAAAAAATATGGCCCTAAACGGTTTGGCTCAGTGGATAAAGCGTCGCCCTGAGGACTGAAAGGTCTCAGGTTCAATTCCGGTCAAGGGCACATGTCTGGGTTGTGGGCTCAATCCCCAGTGGGAGGCATGCAGGAGGCAGCCTATCGATGGTTCTCTCTCATCATTGATGTTTCTATCTCTCTCTCCCTCTCCATTCCTCTCTGAAATCAATAAAAATATTTAAAAAAAGAAAAAAATATGTTAATTTATGGGGTAGCAGGGAAAACATGGGCCTTTAACAAAACACTTGTCCCTGATTGCAGCAAAACTCACCCTTCTCTAGCTCCTGGCACTGTGTAGTAGTACAGGCCTTTTAGGTCAAAAATATTTTATAAATACTGAAAAGAGTATCCCCAAGCCTCATAAACAGTGTGCATATATGTGGAAATATGCGTCCCATCGGACATCCAGGAGTGACCAACAGTGTGTGACAGTGACAGGCAAACAAGAGGAGAGAGCCCTCCTGGGAGGTGAGCCACTTTCCAGCAGCCTGCATGCAAGAAGTGGCAACCTTTACCTTTAAAGTCCGGGAAGTAGTTAATTAAGGCTTTGCAGGCCATACGGCCTCTGCTGACACTACTAAACTGCCATTGTGGCACAAAAGCGACCACAGACAGTACATAAATCAGTGAACATGGCTGTATGACAAAATTTTATGGACATTAACATTTGAATTTCTTATAATCATACGAACGTTCATATTCTTTAGATTATTTTTCAACCATTTAAAATGTTTTTAAAAACCCTCCCAAATTACACTTTGACAACAAACACGTGTCAGCCGCTTCAGTATTGTAAATACCCTTGAATGTAATACATATGGCAAGAAATAACAGGACTTGTCATTAAACTTTAGCTACTTTGAGTTTTAAGAAATAAGATTTGAAAAATAAGAACCTTAACACTTAAGCATGGAATAGAGCTTGCCTGTCTTTTTCTCCATTACAAGGTAAAAATTGTCTCGTGATATTTCTGTTTATTTAGCTTAGGGTTAGGGAAGTTTTAACTTAAAAAAAAAAAAAAAAAAAAAGCAAGAGCAAGTGTAAATCCCTGAGGTGGAAGCATGTCTGAACCGTGAGGAGGAAGCCAGTGTGGCTCCAGCAGGACCAGTAAGGGGAAGAGAGGAGATCAGAATGGTACCAGGGCCCTGGCCTGCATGTAGGGACATTCACTTACTGAATATGTTATCCAGCGGCAAAATCCCACGCCATTTGCCATCCTCCAAGGTAAGAGACTCAGACCTGGAGGGAGCAGGAGAAAGGACAGTGGCGAGAGCACAGGAAAGCCCTTAAATCGGCCTTGCTGTCCACCATTAGTCGCTCTGAATGGTTCATCTGCTAGGTCTGTGAGCCGAAGACGGCGGAACGAACAACTCATGTTCTGCTGAAGTTGTTTTCATCCTGATGCACTAGAGGCGGTTCAATCCCGATGGTCCGAGCAGGACACACTACATATTTCCATCCCAAGAATCACTCTCAGGTCCTCCAAGTCTGAGCCTTACACGTGCGGTTGCTAAGCAACGACTGTGGGCGTGGCCCTTTGGGCATAAAGAGTCGGAGCCCCGCCCTAGGCGGACGCCGGTATTTCAGGATCTTGATCTTTAAAGTCCTCCCACTCAACTTTCAATGGGCGGGGCTACGACAGCAGCTGTCACCTCCTCTCCGCCCCGCTGGCTCTCACTTGTGTCCGGGTCTTCGATAACAGCTCTTTTTCCGGGACTTCCTGGTCGCCGTGACCAATCAGAGTGTTGTTTCCGTCCTTGCCGTGGTCGGCTCGCAGACCTCGGCGCTCCTCTACCTACGCCTCTTAAAGGCGCCGCCAACGCCTCGGGAGCCCGGGCGCACCAATTCCTCGGTTCCTGTCCCCAGCTGCAGTATGGAGTCGTCCCACGGGCGGCCTGGGCCCGAGTCAGACCTTCTGACTTTGGGGAGAGAGCGAGCCGCGGTCTTCGGCGGCGGGCCGGGCCGAGCGCCTTCTGAACCGCCCTCAGGCTTCCGGGTGTCGGGAGAGGAAGAAGCCGAGAACGTTGGAGGCTCGAGCCGCCACGCCAGGGCGTCCCCTAAGACTTCGAGCTACGGCGTCGTCCACTGGCCGGGACCGGAGGCTCCAGAGAACGAGCTCGGCCGCACAGTGATGCTGTGTGGACCCGGGAACCACCAGGGAGCGCCGGATCCCGAGCACAACCCGCACGGGTCTTCCATCCGCCAGGACCCCGAGCCGCCCGAGGACAAGCCTGTGTCCGAAACGATCAGCCGTCGAGGAGGCCCGGGAGGCGGCGGGATGGATGTTGAGCAGGAGGAGGAAGACGACGAGGGGGCGGCCGGCCGGGCTGGCAGATCGTTCTCCAGCCGTCTCGACAGCCGCA